CTCGAGAAATAACAGCTTTTCTTTTCCCCTCAATCCCTTTCTGTGTTTAAGCAAGATCAGGATGTTGATGGGCTGATGCTGCCAGAGCATTCATTCATCTGCTGGAGCTGCAGTGACACTGATTTACTGCCTTTGGATCCTGGTAATCAATGGTGAATTTATGGGCAGCTTTTGTTCATTAACAATGCCAGATGAAGTCATGCAGGGAGGCTGAATGGGAAGGGCACAGGAGTGCTGCCTTTCCTTATCTCTTCCCTTTTAATCAACCAGGCAGTGGCTGTTTTGACCTATTAGTTCTGCCACCACAGAACACAGCTTGAAAACAGGCTGTGCTAAACCACTGACAGCTACAAACACCCTTAACGTGGCAATATTCTCTGTGTTTAATTATTACAGATGCTGCTGTGGTATAAAATAATTCATCAGAAGGGCCTAAATGTTTTGCTGTTGACATCTGTCTCAGGATGGTCCTGTGTGTAACAGAACGTGGTTTCTCAGTATTTAAAAAGTGCAGGTGACCAAGCACAGACTTTGCAGCAATAAATGATTGCTTTGGGGGTTTTTTTCTCCTCATCACAGGCCCTGACATCCTGAGAGGTGGGCACAGAGTGCTCTGCCAGGGGACACAGCTGCTCTGCCTGGCTTGTGCTTCTCCTGCAAGCTGCTCTCTGGCCTGAATCAGGGATTTCTTTTTCTGTAAACTCCCCAATTTCCCCAGCCCTGACTGACTCCTGACCTTCCTCTCTGCACAGAGCCCTCAGGTGTGTCAGCACTTCTGCTCTGAGTGAAATTTCCTCCAGCCATAACTTGAGCTTTTGTGTCACTGTGTGGTTTTGGCTCTTTTTTTCTTTAGAATCTTTGAAAGAAGAGTCTTGCTCCAAAGCTTTACATAACCATGTTTTATTTACACAGTCTCTGTGTGTTCAAATAATTCTGCTTAATAATGACAGTTCCATTTACCTGCAGCCACAGGGAAAAACTCCCTTTATCAGCCTTTGGAGACTTCCTGACAAAGGACTCCAGGGGAGGTGGTGTCTTGTTTCTACAGCACATAAATCACAATATTTTTGATTCTCCTGCCACATCAGTAGAGCCTGAGGTGTTCCTTGGGCCTCAACTCCAGGCACTGAGGGAGGGGTTGCATTGTGGGACTGATGGATTGCACCTCACTCCTGTTTTCTGCTGGTGTTCCACACTTGAATTTTAAAATGTGGGGGTTTTGGGGGTTTTTTTTGTATCATGTACTTCCCCCTTTCTTGCTTTTTCTCCCAGGCTTCCAAAAAATCTTATTTTCTGCTCTCTAGCCCAGTCTTACAGCTGAGAAGGCACAAGCAGGGCCCTGAGAGGCCAAGGATCTTATTTAAACCTGACTTGTAGGACTTTCTGTCAGTGGCAGGGTAGAGCTCAGGATTGAACTAAACTCCTCACCTCCCTTCTGGTTCAGAGAAGCTGAAACAGGGAAGGTACTTGTACCTTCAGGTCTGAATTTTGAGTATTTGTTAGTCTGAGGTGACAATGGCCATGCCCAGGATTGCAGCAAATATTTACAGCTGAGCAGCACGGGGAGGTTTAAAGGAGAGGGAAAAAGAATAAAACTGAGGCACAGCACATTTTTAACATGTGAATGTCAGCCCTGCAGTGTGACCCCCAGGGAGGCAGGGCCCTGCTCACAGCACAGCACCCACAGATTCCCAAAGGTGAAGGATTTTTCAGCACCAGGAGCTGTTTCCTTCACTAAACTGTGGAACAGCTCCTTGGCTCTGTCTCTGGCTTCTTCATCCAATGTGAACTGTGACATCTCTTTGCCTCCACACTGTGTGGCTTCTCAATGCACCAGAGCACTTAATACACTGTCAGTGTGTATTTTATGTGTAATTTAATGCTGTGCAGCACAGCTCCTGTGCTGGCTGAATGTATAAAATGACCTGCCTTCAGTGTTGTCTCGTTCACATAAAAGTGTGTAAATAAATCAAGCTTTACAGTATTGCACTATCAGGATAACTGCTTCATTTTTCACAAGCAATGTTGCATGTCTGTTTAATTCTGTTTGTCTTTTAGGTGAGGCCTTTGGAAATGAAACTTTAAATAAAAAGATTGTGGTAAAATGAAACTTTGAATAAAAGGTTGTTGTAAAACTGATAGAATTCTGGCTTGCTCCATGCTCTGGGAATAGCTTTAATTGGCCTTAAATGTCTTGAGAGAAGTTAAGGCAGAATTTATTTTACTAAAATGTGTATTGAAAGGCCTGTCTGTCTGTTTTTTAACAGGGCACTCTTAAATGAAATGCAGATTGATGTGTTTTGGGGCTGCAGCTTTACATGACAGCTTTACATGACATGTCCAAGTATTTGGTGTCAGCTGTAGGAATTGGGCAATTTACTTAAAAAACTTTGTTTTACAGGGCTTAAAAAAATAAATTAGCATTTATTATTTTGGAGAAGAGCTTGAAAAGGTGATCCAAGGATAATCTAAAGGAGTGGGGAGACACAACCCCAAAATCACTGGTGGCTTGACTCATGAGTTTTTTACTGAAATTGTTCTCTGAGACAGCCAAGCCCTCTGATACAAGCTGGGAATGCTCTGCTGGAGGAGTTGTCATCCTTCAGCTCCAGGGCACAATGTCTTTGATACAGGAGCAGCTTCACTGCCATTTAGAGATCTAGAGACAGTCGTAAATAAATTTAGAATAGTGGGGACGCAGCTTAATCGACTGCTTGCCAACTTAATTAACACTTAACAGATGGGTTTTAGTCCAGGGGGATAAGAGGGATAACCCTCAGGATACTCCTAATTAAATGTATCTCTTGGGGTCCCAAACCACAAAGGGAAAAAAAACCCCAAAAACAATCCAAGAGCAGCCTCAGCTGCTTTGGTGTTAAAGAGCTGCACTTGATTGAATCCCTGGACAATGCTGGCAGAAGCAGCTTCCCCAAGCCCCAGAATTTCTGATAAATGTGGTAATAATTTGTTGACATCAATCATTTAAGGGTTAGTGTCTTGGATAACAGACAAGTGTTTTAAGTGCTAATATCAAGTGATGGCAATTGAGCCAGATGTCAGGAGCTTTACAGAAACACGTGCTACTGAGGAGGTGTTATTTCAAGTAAGACAGAAGTATTTAAAATGCCTCTGAAATGGCCATAAACGTTGGGAGTTTGTGGTATTAAAGCAGAATATATTGCTGGCCAGGGAGGAAGAATGTGGTATTGGAACAATGAAGTATGTGACTGCAGCAAGGGAAGGCTGAGGTAACTGAGAGTAACCAACTACCACCTAAATTTGCACGGCATCCAAATTGCAGAATCCCTTTACCTGGGCAGGTGAGACTGATCTTACCTTTCTAAAGTGAGTTCTGCTCTGCTGTTTTCTTATGAGGGAAAGGCCTGCCCTGTGCACAAATAAATCACCAGCCTGGTGGAGAAGACCAGCTGAGAGCTGCTTTATCCCCTTAAAAAAATTTAGAATAAAAAGCATTTCAACCACAGAGATTTATAGTGTTCGTGTCTAAAGCCCACACTGTCTTCTGGCTTTCCAAGCGAGGACAAAGCCGTTGAACTAAATGTTTGCGTCGCCGAAATCCGATAGCCAAATGCGGCCAAACAAAGGAACGCTGCTTTGTGTTTTGAGAGGTGAAGGGACGCAGGCATCGATTTATCAGCCGGCTCAGATGACGGGCTGCCTCAAACCGTCTGACGGCTGGGATTAAAGCCGAGATTTACTCCCACTGTCACTGTTCCCACCTGGCAGCTGGCCAGGGCTGCCCAGAAATCCCCCCTGCAGGAGCAGCATCTGTGCCGGCACACGGAGCACCCCCCGAGCCCCCTGCCCTGCCCGCGGCCCTGCCGGGACAACCCCCGGCGCTCCCCGGACCTCCGGCAACAGGCGACTGAACTGTGGAATCACAGAGCCGTGGGATGGTTTGGGCTGGAAGGGACCTTGGAGACGATCCGGTTCCACAGGCAGGGACATCTGCCACTATCCCCGAACCGTGGGATGGTTTGGGCTGGAAGGGACCTAAAAGATGATCCGGTTCCAGGGGCAGGGACATGTCCCGCTATCCCAGAACCGTGGGATGGTTTGGGCTGGAAGGGACCTTGGAGACGATCCGGTTCCAGGGGCAGGGACATCTGCCACTATCCCCGAACCGTGGGATGGTTTGGGCTGGAAGGGACCTAAAAGATGATCCGGTTCCAGGGGCAGGGACATGTCCCGCTATCCCAGAACCGTGGGATGGTTTGGGCTGGAAGGGACCTAAAAGATGATCCAGTTCCACAGGCAGGGACATCTGCCACTATCCCAGAATCGTGGGATGGTTTGGGCTGGAAGGGACCTTGGAGACGATCCGGTTCCAGGGGCAGGGACACCTCCCGCTATCCCAGAACCGTGGGATGGTTTGGGCTGGAAGGGACCTTGGAGACGATCCGGTTCCAGGGGCAGGGACACCTCCCGCTATCCCAGAACCGTGGGATGGTTTGGGACGATCCGGTTCCAGGGGCAGGGACACCTCCCGCCATCCCGGGCTGCTCCGACCTGGCCTCGGGCGCTCCCAGGGGCGGGGCGGCCGCGGCTCCTCTGGGCAGCTCTGAAGCGGCTCCTTCCTCCGTGCTCGGCCCCGCCAGAGCCGCCGGCTCTTCTCCAGATGCAGCTCCGAGGGCGATGTGCGGAATTTTTAAATAAATTTAAATAAACCCCCCCCCCCAACCTCAGCCATTGCCGAGCCCACGTGACCCGCCCGGCGCGACCCCTCAGCGGGGCGGGGCATGCGCGGGGCCGCCCCTCCCTCCTTTCCCCTCCCTCTCCCTCTCTCCCCTCCCTTACTCCCTCTCCCTCCTCTTCTCCCTCTCCCTCCCTCTCTCCCTCCCTCCATCCGGGTCACCGACCCCCTCCCCGCCGCTCCCGGAGGCGCTGGGGGACGGGGAAGGCGGGTGGCGCGCGCAGGCGCGTTCCCGCCTCTCCCGCCGCTCCCGCGCCGTGCCCGTGCGCGCTCCCGCCGCTCCGGCCCCACACGGGCACCGCTCCTCGGTCGGTGCGCGCTCCCGCCGCTCCGGCCCCACAGCGGGGACACCGCGGTGCGCGCTCCCGCCGCCCCGCCCGCAGGTGAGGGGAGGCCCGGCCCGGGCCGAGCGCTCCGAGCCGCGGGTGGGGAAGTTGTTGTTGTTGTTGTTTTTCTCTCCCTTAGGGCGGACCCCGAGGGTTTGGGGGGGGTTTAATTAAAGAATATCCCCAGCGAGGGCTCCGGCCGGGGCGGGGGGTGACCCCCGGCCCCTGCGCTCGCCCGGGGCAGCTCCGCGGGGTGTGGGATCGTGGGGTGGGTGGGTTGGGAAGGGACCTCCAAGAACATCCAGTGCCACCCCCTGCCCTGGGCAGGGACACCTTCCACCAGCCCAGGTTGCTCCAAGCTCTGTCCAACCCGGCCTTGGACATTTCCAGGGCTGGGGCAGCCGCAGCTCCTCTGGGCACCCCGTGCCAGGGCCTGCCCACCCTCCCAGGGAAGGATTTCTGCCCCTCAGCTCCTCGGGGAGGATTCTGTTGCTGTAGGAATCGCCAGGTGCAGCCCTCACGTTGAGGGTTTTCGGGAGGGTGGGATGTGACTGTGAGGGAGCTGCTCCTGCTCAGCTGCTCAGAGGATGCCCAGGAAAACCCCCCGGTGCTGCCTGTGCCGGGGAAGAACTGAAGCCCCCGGTGGCAGAAGCTGCTTCGCTTAAATTTCAGAAGGTTTTTTTAGCTCTTTTTGAACTTGGAGTTTGCTTTCGAGCGTTTGAGCGGCCCCTGTCACCCGGTGTTTAAGTGGTAAGCAGGTATTAATTCCCAGAAGAAAGGGCTGAGTGAAAGGTCTGATCCCAGTGGCTTTAGTTCTTGGGATCCTCTCAGTCGAGCTGTGTGAGGGTGTTAAATCTGAAACGAGCAAATAGTTTGCTAATGAGTATTGCAGTGAAATCGCTTTTAATTTGTTTATTGCAGTTAATACTCTTGTAAGAGTTAGCTGATCGTAATAGGAATTAGCTGGTTGTAATTTGCATTTGCATATCTCCATTCATAGATAAGTAGGAACCTCTCACCTTTCCAGGGAGGTAAGTGAAGAAATTCCCTTTTTTCCTAGGGAAGGTGAAGCAGAGTGTTTTGGCTGTTGAACTGATAATCACATTCCTGTACCTGTCTCAAGCTTGGAGTGCCCTTCTTCTGGTTTTAATGCTTTCTAATAATTGCATAATCAAATAATTCTGCCTGATCTCTTTAAAATATCACTTCTCACAGGGCTGTTTGTCACTGGACTTGTTAATTAACGTTCACACATCAGTCTTACCTGTCTCATCTGATGCCAGGGAAGGTGTTGGATATTCTTGCATTGCTCAGTAACCAGGTGCTCTGATACTGATTTGGGTGAAGTCATGAAAAACGAGTAACATGAGAAAAAAACCCTCAGAATTAACCATGTAGGTTTATGATTAAAAAGAATAGAACTATGATGCATTCTTAATGAAGGAAGAACCACAGCATAATTGAAGTAGCTTTTGTAGCTCAGTGTTCTCTACAGAAGCTTTTCAGATTTTGGTTTTACAGCAGGAAATGCTGTGCTGGAAATTACACAGAGCTGTTGATGTTGCTGCTAAAATTGATTCTATTAAATCCCTTCCCCTGCAAGCTGCAGGAATTCAAGGGAATAACTGCATTGTGTTCTGCAGCTTAACCATGTCCAGGTTTCCACTCTTGTTCTTTAAAGCAATGAGATGATTTCTGGGAATTAAATTTGTGTTACTGGCTGAGGAAGGAATTTAATCTGCTTCCTGGCACGGGGAGGGTTAAACTGCCCCAGCTCCCCGGTGTCATTTACACTCCTCACTGGAGACCTGCTGCCTTTTCACAGGGCAGAAAATTTAACCCAGTCGGGTATTTTCCTGCTGTATTTAAATCTTAAAACAGGATGGTTTCGGATCTAATCAAGAGCTGGGGACAGGGTGTTTTCCATCAGGATTCTTAAACTCTGCAGACCTGCAGAGCGTCTCCTCAGTGCAACAGTTCCCCCCTGTGCAGGGTTTGACGTGTGCCGTGATGCCACACGTTGCTGGTCAGCAAAAAATTGGGATTTTCCAAGTATGAAGGGACAATGACACAGTGGTGAGCAGAGGGCAGGCCTGCAGTGCAGGGACACCAGGGCTGTCACCTCAGCTCTGGGCCCAGAACCCAGATGTGCACCTGGTTTAATCCCCGTGGGGTTTGGAGGCGGGAGGGCAGAGGTGGTTGGTTGCCTGTTTTTCACAGGGAGCTGGATGGAGCGACTCAGGACACAGAGTGAAGGTGCAGGGACTGCCAGCTGAATTTATTCACTGTTAAGATGATAACTGGGCAGGTTTGTGTGCACCTCTTGACAGTCACAGTGACTGTGCAACCATCACCTTCTGTCCACTTCACAGGGAACTCGAGTTGTTCAGTGGTACAGAAATTAATTGTAGAGAAGCTGGGTGCTCTGGCTCTTTTCTTGGCTTTTTTTCCCCCCTTTCCTTTTTCATCCCTCCTCTCTGACTGTGTGTGTGCTGTCTGGGATATCTGAGCTCCTGGCACTTGTCTGCAAACACTTCTGTTTGTTATTGATCCCTCTCCTGCTCCTGAGTCGATTTGGCAAAGACCTTTCCTTAATTGTGTTGCCTGCCCTACCATCAGTCTTGCCTTTTACTTTTCCATTTGTCACCTTTTCCTTTACAAAACTGCCCTGTTCTGTTCCACCACAAGTCGTGGCAATAACGTGGATGTCTTCTTTTTTTTTTTTCTTCTTCCAAAATGCAAAAGGAGTTTCAGAGTTTTAGAACCTCCTCGTGCTGGAACTTTGAACTTAATTATAATTCTCTGAATCAACCAAATTTGGAAAAAGAAGGAAAAACTGAGATTTTTTTTTTCCCCCCACACACAATGCATTCTTTAGGTCTTTTAAGCTGATGTTTTAGAACCAAAGGCAATCCAGGGCTGGAATGTTGCTTTGAATTCCACCTTGGCTGGACTGGAGGAGTGTCTGTGTCCTGCTGCCTGGTTTGCTGAGCCCAGATTTCTCCCAGAGCCAGATGGTGCCTTTTGTTTTTTCCCTTGTTGGCGCATTTTTGTTCCCTTTTCTCTTCCTTCCTTGTGTGAATCAGCGAGCACAAAAAAGGAGGTTTCCACCAGCAACTCATTTTCTTCCATTTCCATCCTTTCTGTGACATTGAGGAGCTTTTCCTGGAGAAATTCAGGAAATGTTCCCAGGTCTGTGGCTGAGTTTGTGGGGGTTTGGCTGAAGGGGTGACAGGGACTGGGGCAGTTACAGGAGCACAGGATCCTTCCAACAGCTTTTGTTCCACTGATTTAACTCATTTAATGGAGTATCACACCTTAGGTGTGTCCCAGAGCAGTTTGGAAATACTTAAAACCATTTATCCTAAATATTTTTCCCTCATTCTTACGTGTTTTTTTTCACCTTAAGTGCAAAGTGTTTGTGTGTTGTTAATTAGAAATCTTGTCTTAATGTTTTCCCATGAGTGAGAGTGGGTTTATTCTGCATTTTTAATGTGGTTTTGTTTCAGTTCACGGCATTTCTCAGTGTCTGCTTCAAAAGAATAAGCTGATATTCCAAATGAGACCATTGCCAATGAAACACCAGTATATTTACCTATCTTTTTTTAGTGTTATGTGATAAATTAACACTCTTTCCAAAGGTAGATCCAGTGCAGTTCCATGTTTTCTCTCATTTGCAGTGTGATAACCTCAAGATT